AATTAGTGTTAAATAAGCTCTAATAGCTAGCTGCTTATAGTATAAGCGCTTAAGTAGTAAAAGTAAGAGTAGTGTATAGTGTGCATAGTGTATAAAGTAAGTAAGGTAAAAGTAACATGTTTTTAGTTTTATTACTCTTATCTTTCCTTTATTTAGAGGAAAAGAGGGATATTTAGATGTTTGCGCATAGAGGTTTACGCACAAGCATTATGTAACATAGATACGTGATCCTGCTCGTGCGCGATCGCTTGTATCCAGGCCGCAACGCTGCTGCTGTGTACAGACATAAAGTATATTAAAACAGAGTAAATAGCAGAGGAGTTAACTAAAGTTAAAGGTTTAAATAAATAAATAAAATAAAGTTGTAAAAGTTAAAGTAAACTAATTAATATTTACATAAATAAAAAAAGTAAGTGTAGATAGTTATTAAAAAAAATATAACTAATTAAAATAAAATTAAACATAATTAAATATAAAAAGGTAAAAGATATAGTTTATATTTATTAGTAATAAAAAATTACTCTCTATAAGCATTATACTATACTCTTTATATTAGTAAGTTAGAATTAATTTTTTAAAAAGCGCATTATTTTTTCTAGAATAATTTAGTAATAATAAAAAAAATATAAATAAATAACTCTTCTATACTACTAATAATGTTTATATAGAGCACTGTGTTAGTTCGTTGCAAAGTTAGATAATAAGTAATAAGTTTAACATTTCTTATAGTAAGGCTAGAAAGACATATTAAGCCTAAGTAATAGTGTTAGTAGATATCTATAAATATCTAGCTAGAATTAGATAGATATAACTGTAAAAAAAAGAATAGTACTAGAATATAAACACTAACACACTAATTCTAGCTTAGCAACACCTGTAAACTATAAATAGTAATAAAAAGGTAAACTTTAGCCTACTAATAATAAAACATAGCATTATAATATTACATTAAACTATCTAAAATATAGTAATAAACCTAGTAAAATATATTTATTTGCTTTAAAAATTAAAAGAATTGATAGTAGTAGTAAAAAGTTTTAGTTATAGGCTAATTAGAAATTAATCTAGCTGTTTTTTAAACTAATAAGAGAAAAGGCTTGGCAAGATGTACCGTGATTAATAGAGATTTGAAAGGTGTTCCACCTAGATCCTACAGCTAGCTAGAGCCTTAGCGGAATTAAAAACAATAGGCTTAGCATACAGATACGCCTTTTAAAAGTCTTTGCCCACGCTAAGGCACTAAAAAAGCTATATTTCAAATTAGGCGAACAAGCAAATGCCTTCTCTAGATGTAATCTCTCTCTCTTTGTACTCATTACCACCTTTAAGCCTAATAAACTTCTAGCTATGCTTGCTAGCAAGGTTAGCACATGTCTTCTCACAGCTATATCAGTCAACGCGTACCTTCTAGGTGAGAGATTGCTAAACCTCGCTTGTCTACTTATTTAGACAGCTGGATTAGAGAGCATCTTTAAGATATTTGTCTTTTAAAATAAGAGAGACAGCGTTAGAATTAAACTTACGCTTAATTGCTTAGTTGTAGATGCTATTAATACTGCGCTTTAGTAGTCTAGTAATTAAGACAACCTGTTAGGTAGTTTTGCCTACAGATGGCAATTTAAAGGCAACAACTAAAGCTTAAGTAGCGATATTGTGATTAGGCGCTATGTAGAGATAAAATAAATTATAGTATAGCTAGAAATCTCTTAAAATTTAATCTAAATTAGGGATTAAGAATCTCTAAGGTTTGCGCTAAGATTGTAGCGTTTTTGGAGCAGGCAAAGACTTTTAAAAGGCTTATCTGTATAATTGTAACAATTCTCATGAATCGTTCCATCTTGGCTGGCCCGGAACCTCCGGAAGGCCCTCGTATCGGCCCCTACCCTGCCCTGCCCCCTGCTGTTACCCCTATTCCCCTAAGTATTTAGTCGCACCTCCCCTATAGCTAGCTTAGTAGTTTTCTAATATCCTCTGTACAAGGCCTATAGGTGTTAATAGAATTCCAGGTCATTAAGTCCCCACGCACTCCTATATGCCTCTAAGTGGGTTCCTACTGCATTTAGACCTATTGTCTTGCCTGCGCTGTTACATTATATTAGAAAACTTGCTTTTGCTAGTAACAGCCTTATTATAATATTACAAAGATTGTTTGTTTAACTATGTCTAAGCCTAAGACATGTCTAATTTAGTTTAAGTTGTAATCTTTACATACTATTATATTAAACTACTTAGTTATATAGACAGGATACTAGAAACCTTCTATTACCTAAAGCCTTTAGGTTTAGAACTTCCTATCCCCTGTAATTAGAATTGTCTTTAGAAAAGTTATGTAGAGTGTGTTAAGGTAGAAACTTAGAGACTACTAATAACCTATTAAAATTAGAGGCAACTGCTAATGTCTAACTAACTAGCCCTTAATTCTAAAATTAAATTACACTCTAGCTAAGTAGAATCTAAAGCTATACTCCTATCTAATTTAAAGTTAACCTCTAGCAGCATATCTATTAATAATTAGATTACTTAACTATAAGCGTAACTTAAGCAGCTAATTTAGCTAAGAACTACTAGTTAACTTTTACTAACTACTAAATTACTATAACAATCCTCATGAATCGTTCCATCTCGGGCGGCCTAGAACCTCTGGAAGACCCTTGTATCAGCCTCGACCCTGACCTGGCCCTAGCTCTGCCCAGCCCTCTGCTGTTACCTCTATTCCCTTATGTATTTAGTTGCACCTCTCCCCCTTAGCTAGCTTAGTAGTTTTCTAATATCCTCTGTACAAGGCCTATAGGTGTTAATGGCATTCCTAGGTTCTAAGTCCCCACGCACACCTATATGCCTCTAAGTGGATTCCTACTGCATTTAGACCTATTGTCTTGCCTACGCTGTTACAATTACCTCTAATAACGCCTGTACTACTTTTGCTACTCTAAGTGCAAGAGACTTTTTAGACACTCTTTAGACTTGTTAAATTTACTTTACTAAACATATGCTTAAGATTAAGATATTTACAGACAGTAAAGAACTTATATTTAAATAATAGTAAGCCTTTATTATAGACAGACTTAACGTTAATTTAGATTACTATTAGAGTAAGCCCATACACATAGCGTTAATATAGAGACACATAGCTAGTATTACAAAGGATTATCTAGAGCTAGGATATCTAGCTAAATTAAACTAGTTTTAGTTTAAAAGTGTAGAAGATATAATAAAGCTTTTATAAGCTTATTTTATTACTAGCTAAAAAGAAACTAGGGCGTAATAAGCATTTTAGACTCTTAAGATAAATAAAGAAGAGTTATTTTCTATATTTAAAGCGCGCTTTATTAGTGCAGCTATTAAGAGAATAGTATCCTAGTTAGATTAGTTCTTTTACCTATAAAAGAAGCTTTATTCTAGCCTGTAGATACTAAACTATAGTTTTAAACATACCTAGGTAAACTTCTTTAAAGCTATAGTAGCCTACCTTATAGCGTACAATTTAGAGAGGAGGATCTATAAGAAGAACCTAGTTATCCTATTGTCAGATATGCGCACCTACTGTCAAGACAGGAGGAACGCTTGACGAAAGCTGCTACATAGTACGAGCAATAAGCTCGAACAGTATGTTGCTGCAAATTGCTGCATGTTGCAGCAAATTGCAGCATTTTGCAGCATGTTGCAGCATGTTGCAGCATTTTACAGCATTTTGCAGCATGTTGCAGCATTTTGCAGCATTTTGCAGCATTTTGCAGCAAATTGCAGCATGTTGCAAGCTGGTCGCGCATAGGGCAAGTGCGCGAGGGACTCGGATCGGCAAAACAAAAAGCCGAGCAACACGAGTAGAGCAGAAAAAGGATCGATAAATCAAGACAATAAATCATCATCCCATACATCATATCCAAACCCATCATTCATCTCAGGAAGCCTAGAAACAGTGCTTCAATCTGACACCTATCTAAATTATCTCTAACTACTAAATTTACCTCTACTACTCTAATAATTAATAACTGCACAGATAGCAAGGAACAAATAGTAAGCCTTAATTATTAATAGGCTAGGCATCTATACAGATTACTATTAGAGCGGGTGTGCACGCATAGCGTTTAGTTTTAGAGGACACTACTAGCAGTGCAAAGGAATACTTAGAGCAAGGACACCTAGTTAAATCAGACTAGTTTTAGTTTAAGAAAGTAAAGAATATAATAGCAATACTTCTACTCTAATTACTGCTAATAAGGACTATTAGTCTACAAAGGGGGGAGTAGTGTAACAATTCTTATAAATTGTTCTATCTTAGGCGGCCTAGAACCTCTAGAAGGCCCTTGTATTAGCTCTGCCCCTGCCCTGCCCCCTGCTGTTACCCCTATTCCCCCAAGTATTTAGTCGCACCTCCCCTGTAGCTAGCTTAGTAGTTTTCTGATATCCTCTGTACAAGGCCTATAGGTGTCAATAGAATTCCCAGGTCATTGAGTCCCCACGCACTCCCATATGCCTCTGAGTGGATTCCTACCGCATTCGGACCCATTGTCTTGCCTGCGCCGTTACAATAATGATGTCGGCGTCATGGTCAATTCTAAAACCGTTTGAGAGGCTAAGCAATGAAATCGGCAATTGCGCCGAGATCTTCCGCACCACCCTCTGGTGTGTGATAGGGATCAAACGAGATGTCGGAGGTTGCATGTATTCATATATCCTTTTGTGCTGAAGGGCCGATACCCCCCGTACTTAACCCTAGTCGTAGATGGTGTTAGCAAGCGGATGAACGTGTTTGCCGGGTCGCAAGGGGAATTCGAACATCAAAACATGACAGACGAGAGAACAGAGGAAGTTATTTCGGTATCGTGACAAAATTTTAGAGTAGTCGTTGAAAGCCCTAGAACAGTGATGGATGCGCCGGCCACGAGGAAGGAACAGAAGTTATGCCGCGGGGAAAGTGAGAAAATGGTTGACCATTCTGAGGCAATCATTCCTCACATGGTCTTAACCCCTTGCTGAATTGCTCTATACGTCTCCATCTAATAACCTCTCGAGCCATCAAAGGCGGATGCATGAAGATCGCTGAAGATGTAGTCGGCCGCCCTACCCTTCGGCAACAGGAAATAGCTCATACAGAGATATCGTAAGGGTCATGGACGTGTTGGCCTGTGGGCTTGTGAAGGTCAACCCTTGATTCGAGTCGTGGCCTACCATAACGTAGAGATCGCGATCAAAGCGACTCTCTTTCAAGCGAGTCCTTGGAATAGCCGGGGCGATATCTCCATCTATGATTGGACCGTAGAGATTGCAGCCATATAGCGTGTTGTCAATTTGATGTATATATACTAGAATGAGGGCTACTGAAGTGAGGTTTCGCGGCTCTTCTATATTTGACGCCTAACGATTGAATGAATTTCTGGAGGAGCTGCGCCGGAATACTAGAGGTTGTTCGGATGTGAAACAGCAGCGAAAAGGGATGCCTTCTGAAATAGTCGATGCTCCTTCTCAACTCGCGCTCCACTAAATGCCGTAATATGGTGTATTACCGAGCCAGCGTCAGCGGATTTACCGAGAACTGTTACCCGATGCTTATCTCCACCGAAACGGTGGATGTTGTCGCCCACCCATTGAGAGGTGAGCCTCTAGTCATAAAGTGCAACATTTGCGTATTTGCCAGCCTGGATAGTGAGCCCTCCACTCTAGCTAAACGTCCCGAGATGATATTTGATTGCAACCCACAGCATTTGGTCATTGCTAGCGTCGAAGAAAGTTACTGGGCCGAACTTGCCTTGGCCGATTTCTCCCCTGCGACATATCCGCCTCCGAAGATATTCGATCATTGCCATTAGTCAAAATATTGACGATTGAGAATGTGACATTCATAGTTGAGAACAGTAGCCTCCGAAGTCCCTCAAATAACTGTTTCGGAACGATGACATCCGAGAAAGGACAATCCTCGGTCATTCGCGGATTATAGCTCACGGTCGGGGGAAGCTTAGGAATGGAGTCCGCCATAGCACTGTAACTAAAAGGGGATTCGAGAAGATATAAGGAACAAATGAAGTAGCAATTAGATGCCAAGACACTGATGCTTAAGGACAGATACGACCAATGGATCCATTATTGATCTCTGTGGAAATACCAGTGGGAGTCTGTTTGCAGTAGTCGCGCATGGCTCACACGATAGTCGCATGTTACCAAGACTTACCCTTTTTCTTGCATATATATAGACCACTAGGTACACTCTTTTAGCAATCAACTTAGTTCCTCATCTCTGCGCTTACTAAAAGCATCACAAAGTCACTGGTGATCTGAGCCGAAGCGTTTTGATGGAAGGCTGAGCATAGCGGATATTCGAGAAGCTATAGTATCCAATGGTGGCCTTCAGGATATTAGCTAAGAACTGGGGCCTGTGCTAACATGACTGAGATTAGATTTTCGTTGCTCACGTTGAAGATGATGGCTTGGTGTTGAGGAATACGAAAACATTACGGCAGGAGATAGGAAGAGATGATTATAAAGTAGTTTTGGAAATGTGACCTCGGAGAGACGACCTGGGGACAAATTCTCCTCCTAAATATCCTGGAGATTTCTACGTTCCGCAGGACTTCTCTGATGCTGTATCCGGTCTTCCTTTTTAGGAGATCGTTGGCAAGGTTCATCGGGATTATTCCTAATTTGTGTGATTTAGTCGCTAGGTTTGCTGTATTAGGATAGGAATATATGGCGATGTTGTAGCTAGAAACAGGAGAATAGTTCCGCGGGGTGCATCGATGGTCGCATGTGATATGTGGAAGATGGAAGCAAATGCTGGAGTGTTGAAATCGGGCTTTCCTGAGCTGCCTAGGTGGGGAATCGACGACGTCAGCCTTAAACGCAAAAGCAAGGTCCAGCAACCTACGCTCACTTTTAATCCTCCCTTATCCTTTAATCTTCTCCTTCCCTAGCCATCACACCGGTCATAACACTACCCTTACCTTTCTAAGGTTTCCCCTTTCCGTTTGCTAGGTCAAGACTTCTGTATCTTCGTGCATGTAAGACAGGGGGCACGATAAAAGACCTGGAGCCAACGCCAAGGGAACTGGCCTGGGGACGATTCTCTCCCGCCCAAAAATACTCCGCACAAGCATTGTTGCCTCTGGTAGATGCTCCACGGTGGTTACTAAAATGGTTCCGACGTATCGGGAGGTCCTCCATCGATCTTGGCTCCTCACTTTCCTCACATCTCACAGCAGATTCACTAATATTATCTAAAGATTCGATGTATTGAGGTAGTGAAGATACATTCATAAAAAGGAAGCATGGGAGCGTGGTGGGTATCAATAAGGTTCGTGAGCCATCTGCGTTACACCTTCATCTTTTGGGTCCTTCTCTTTTTGAACGGCCTTCCTTCAATACCCCTCTTTCCGAAAGCCTCGTGTCCCAGTAGACCAAGTATATTCTCATCCTAATAACAGCTTTCAAGGTCGCTAGAAAATTAAGCAAGTCCCCGTAACGAATGGTGCGAGTCGTGCTTGGCCAGCAAGGTGACCGCTGTGTCCGCAGCTGCTTGACGCTATTGCTTTCGGGGCTCGACGTCAGAATTCATATCTGAGTGGCAGTCATGAAAGCTGGCATATGTAACCAGCCACAACTAGATCGGGTATCGTGAGGACGTGAGCGGTAGGAGCTGCGGAAAGATGATGACAACGGCCTTACAGCCGTCTCCAGACGCCGTATTTCATCTCAGGGTGAGTGTAGAGATAGACTAATGCGACCATGAGGTATTTTTGATCAAAGCTGATTGGGGAATTCCGGTCTTCTTAGAAACCTGTTGCTGGCATGACCGATGGTGGTTGCCAGTTCAGCCTTGGTGAATGGCTCACCCGCTTTTGGAACTGTCAACGACGTGAACCGTTTCGATATGAGCTAGATGCGACGTTGAATGGGAGAGCTCCTTCAGGTCAGAAGCCGTCGTCGACGGCCCGGTCTTCTAACTTTGCTGTCTTTCTCGACATCCAAGAAGTCTCTCTTTTCCACCCCGGCGTTTTCTCCGCCACTCCTTGCACATGTTGTCTGATACATAGCCAAACACTCATCAATACATTGGTCATATTCTTCAGTCGGGTTGAATGTCGCGCGGTCCAGGAACGACTTCCGACATTCGTCCAGGCAGGGCTCAGCTTTCAAGTGAAGAGCACAGCAGATGTTATCTCCAATAACCTTGGTACAGAAGCTCGCCGGCGGCGATGACTTCTGGAGGCTCGATACGATAGATGAAGTGATGAAGTCCGTTGTTGAAGAAAGATACGGCATTATTCTGTAGTAGAAGGCTGCGAGCCCGAGGAAGAACAGGACGGCGACAACGCCACCTCGTGGCGTCTTCATGGTTGGGTTGGGTCGAAGCACAGAAATTTGATCTCAACTTTGCAGAATCGTGAAGGAAGAACGCTGGATTCGGAAGCAAACGTGAAGCCGCTAGATCTGGGAATGAGGTAGTTTTGAGGGATGCGTGGCTTGCGGGGAAATGATGCGGCTGAGGCAAGAGAAATCAGACGACAAGACCAGAAGAAAGTCACGAAGCGTTTCAGGATTTAAGGTACCGAAGCACCTGCAGATTCGTAAAACACTTCGGCCTTCTAAGCCCCCTCCTATGTATGCCATAGGAATTGAACTCCACCCCGGTAAGCCGGCATGGCTCGAACTATCTCTAAAACTTGGCGATTCTGACACTGCTGCATCAAACCTGATATCACTGTCCAACTCAAAATGACTTCAGACTACATGGTAATTCGCCAGTAACGAATAGGTTCGAACTTTTCGTGCCTCACACCCGTATCCGGAATCCAACATTTCGTATTTGGAAAAGCAAATTCACCGAAGGAACCAGGTCGACCAATCGGAAACTAGTGTGAAGGTTTTAGGTTGGGGCCGTAACCCGACACCCAGGCTCTCTCTCTTAAGTCCGAGTGGAATTGCTATTTCTGTCCCACTTCAGGACTGGGGTTCTCTCGCGAAATTGCTCGAAAGCGAACAGCAAGGCCTCTTGTTCGCGAGATTATGGCTGTGCGACGGTGGCTGCGCTCGCAATATGACGCAGGGTTTCGGCAGGAAGCGACGATCCATGAAGCGAAAGAGGACCCGAAGTTTAACGGCTATCGAGTCGTGGACAGGAGCATGCTCGCCAATTTGTTTAAGAGGTTCCTTTCAAAGTGGACTTTGCAACCATGGAAGCCGCCTTCGTAAGAGTCTCGAGGTCCGCAAGCCGAGGGAATATGGAGGAGTGTCTACGGATTAGAGAGAGGATGGTCATCATCAAGAGGGATTGGTAGAGCAATTACCAACAGGCGCAATGCACTCCGAAAGAAGAAAATACGCATCCTAGGAACTGGAAAAGCGAATGACATCCATGAGACCGCTTCCTGGGCCGTGAGAATATCTTGATCACGTGTGCGCCGCGATCTTCCAGGGCTGCTCCTGGTCGCAGTGGGCTGGATCGATCTGTACCGGGATGTGAACACGGACCTATAAACCTCAGGTGAGTTTAAGTGCATTTGTCTATTCCTCTTTGAATTTTGCAGTCCTCTTTTTTGTCAGGTAATTAGGGCTGGAATCAGCAATTTCCAATCTGGAAGGACCAAGGTCACACCACAGTTGCGCTATCACTAGAAGGATTGAAGAGGCCTCCAGAGTGCAATTTACTCTATCCGGTGACACCGGCTGCATTCGGATACCTCAACTGCCCACTTCTGGGCTAACCCGGCAAGGGCCATTCCTTCGTTTTGTTTGATTTGAAACCCAATCGCGACTTTTCCCCGACAATTAGACTGCCATCTCCAATTGCTTCTAGCACCCCCTCTCGAATTCGTCAACGTGCTGCTCAGCGCATCTAAATCATTGAATCAAGGTTCCATCTCCATGTGTCTGTATTAGGTAATATGCTGGTACCGGACCCGTCTAAACTCTCTCTGTTGAAGTCCTTCATTCAGAAGAAGTCATCACTTAGAAATCTGACGTGAGAAATGTTGCTTCTTCTTTGTCCCCCCTTCAACGATATTCGAACACTTGCAGGCAAGAGAGTGGCTTTTAGTATTTTGCCAAGCACTAATTTGATCGACCATCTCTGTTTCGTTGTACCTCTTTTTCTTCGCGTTAATCACATTCCCAGCCGGAAGCTCTGCGGTTGCCCTGAAATGGATGTTGAACCTAACTTTCTTTCCGGGGTCCTCTCCATGCAGCACATCCATCCTTGCGTTCTTGCAATACTAATTACCAATGGAATAATCGACCCCAATGAAGGTTTCGGACGACATGCATCGGATTTGAGATATTATGCAGCTTACTTCAGTGAACTTATTTATGACCAATAAAGAGTTAGTAGTGGAAGTAGTTCTCAATTGGTGTCTAGAAACGTTCCGGCGCTGCGCTCGACGATTGCTACGTAGGCTTCGAAACAGCCAGAGACCCAGTTACACCTCCGCCTTATCCTCCCACTGCCCGGGCGTCCTTTTTAAGCCTTGTTTACTCTCCAACTCCTCGTCAATCCCCAGCTCCCGCGTGAATAAACTCACCAAAAGGGCCAATCCCGCCAAGCTGGCCATCACAGCCCAAACCATCTTCAAACTGTCTGCGTAGCCTTTTTCTAATGCCTCTCTCACGCCGTTCCTATCTTCCATGTCCATTGCTTTCATGAGCTCAATCAGGCTGGCGGCATCGTTTGCGTACTTAGTTGCGACCCCCGCTACCGCCGGAAAAGCCAACAGTTTTCGCTTAAGCTGTGTTTGGAAGATCGAACCGCCGACAGCTACGCCAATACCTTGACCGAAAGCGCGGATGAAGTTGTACATAGCTGCAGCATCAGCAACATCTTTTTGACCAGCCGCTGCCTGAGTCGCATACTCAAGCCCTGGAAATAACAGCCCGATTCCAATACCTGGTATCAGGTTTATTCCAACCCACATCTTGGTGGAGGTGTTCTCGTCAAGCAGCCACATCACCCCAAGGCCGAGAATGGCGAGCGACCACCCAAGCCAGATACACCATCTATAAACCCCAACCTTAGAGATTGCGATTCCTGCGATGAACGCTACTGGAGCGACGGTCAGTGTCTCGGGGAGAATGGCCAAGCCAGCACGGAGAGGAGACAGGGAGTGACAAGCTTCGTAATAAAGAGGAAGGTAGTAGAGTAGGCACCACAGGATTATTCCTTGGATCAGTATGCCAAAGTAAGATGCTGCCGCTGTACGGTTACTGAAGATTTGCATCTTAATCAAGGGATTGGGGTGTTGGGTGTATATCTCGTACGCTATCCAGCCTACGAAACCAATCAAGCCGAGGAGGAGAGGAAGAAGAGTGCGGAAGTTTGACCAGGAGTATTGGATGCCTCCCCAAGTAACCGGCATCAGGATGGCAGTCGTTGATCCTGTGAGTAAGACCGCACCTATCCAATCCACGCTCTTGAGTTTCTCTTTCACACTAAATCCATGCATAGGCTTCTGGAGACGAAGCACAACTGGGAGTATGACAAGCCCCACGACCGCGATTGGAATGTTGAGCCAGAATATCCAGCGCCAGCCACCGTATCCTCCTTTCTCTCCTCCATTCATCTCGTGTGCAGACTTCGAACCTGCAAAGACACCACCAACCAATGGCCCACAGACACTACCGACCGCCCATGTTGCGCTCATGTATCCGTAGAAACTCCCTCGTTCTCGTAATGGCACAAGATCGGTAATCACCACCTCGGAAAGAACGATGAGACCGCCGGCGCCAACACCCTGCACCGTTCGCCCGAGAATGAGGACTGTGAAGGAGGCTGATAAGGCGGCTGTTATACATCCCGCTGTGAAGACTACTAGAGAGAACAGAATCAGAGGAAGGCGACCGAAGATATGGGATAATGAACTGAGGGTGGGTTGGAAGACGGTGGAGGACAGGAGGAACGAAGTTCCAGCCCAGAACGTTGTCAGGGCTGTTCCATGAAGGGAGCTGGATATAACCTGTGTGGTTAAAGTAAGTATATGGTCGGAGAGAGGGCTTTCGGTCTGCCATGAAAAGCAAATTAACGTACTGGCAGCGCGACACTCAGAGTTGTGGCATCCAAAGCAACAACCAACATCATCAAGCACAAGCACCCGAATATCGTATGGAACCTCCATCCCGGCCTGAATTTCTCTTTTTCTAGCTTCTCTTTTTCCGGCTCATCCTCTGTTTCCTCCCCACTGACCTCCTCTGACTTCTCCTCGACTTCGGCTTCGAGTGCGGATATAGACGAAGCGTGAGAGGGACAGGAAGAAGACATCTCAGCTGCGATATGATGAGCTTGCTCTCTCGATGCGCTATTCTCTGTCAATTCCATAGTGTCCCTTATGTAGTCCTCACTTTCCTCTCTGGGCTTCTCGGGGTAACCAAGCACGGTATCTCTTGAGTTGGAAAAATCGGTCCGGCCAGAATCTCGGGCATGCGACGTTCCGTTTCCATCATATTCCATTCCTCTTATGGGATTCTGGCCCTCAACAGAGTGGGAGCGGGAGCGGGAGCAACATTGGAGTGGACTCCTTGGATCGGAAGGGGGATCCATTGAAGCACCAAACGCTTAGAGTCCTAGTCACTGAAGACTGTCGTAAGATGTGTCGGACGGGGTAGGATGAATTCGGCAGATTTCACGATCGCGGGGCTTAAAGAGCTAGAATTTGGACCAAAATACTTGTATCTTCGTGGAATTTTGTTGAGTGTGCCGAAGCGTATCCAAAGTTTGGCGCCTTAAGAGATGTCAAGCTTAAAGACCCGCAGATTCGAGGTTGTCGATGTCGGATGGCCGATTCTTCACGGTAACCACCTTTTCAGAGCCGATTCCTTGACAATTCGAATGGAGTGCCTATGGACACCCCTGCGTGGTTATGCAGAATAGATCATGGTCGAGTGAAAATATCCATTGGCTTATACAAGACAGCAATTAAGTAGAGAGAGAAAGAAACTCTAAAGGAAGATGGGAGAAAAACACAAGAAACACCACTATTGAAGTCTGTCCCATCCAGACTCCCTACATGTATGAACACCCGTGAACATTGAGCGGATACACACACGCACCCATCACCTCGCCTCAGCCAGCCTACTCCCAGCTAAGTACTGCCACGCATCTCGCAACCGCGTCTCCGTTCAAGGGTAATCTTCCAACACTCTCTCCACTAACCTCAAATCCCCAAGCTTCGCATAATAGGCCGGGGGGTGTTGCAGTGCTAAAGATTGATTGTAGGGCTGAAGTTGACGCTGGGCTGCCTTGAGTCTCGCGGCTTGCGAACGAAGAGGGAAAAACAGCAATGCGCATCCAAGCGATCGATGGCGTGGGAAAAATTGGCGAATGAGGCTGAATTCCAGAGGCGCTGGATGGATCTGGACGGTTTTGGGCCAATCATGGATGAGGCGTTCAGCCACGGTAGCCAGCCTCATTTGGTATCCAGCTGGCATCGCCGACATCCTTGTGTGTTTTGGGCACGGAAAGAGCGAGAGTGTTTCTGCACGTGGGAGGATGAAGTGAGTCTAGACTCGGGGATAAATGTGATATTTTTAACTCGCGAGTTGGAAGTATGTATTGCGGCTCTAGAATTCTTTTCATGTTTCCTGGAAATGTCAGACTGACTCGTCAGCGCAGTGAACTTCCCTAGATCCGATGATCTGCTAATTGGAATCCTGGATTCAAATTTTCTCCCCTGGCCTCTGTCGCGCTGGATATCAGAATTATACAGAAGTATTCCGAAGCCATCGTTAGTTGCTGCCCATCATCACCCTTCCCTATCGAACCGACGACCTATCTTTCCTACATCGGCAGCCTTCCCGCACGAGTACTGAGATCTCTTAACAACATCGCAAAGCGAGGTGCTCTTGACAGAGGAGCCAAACTGAATTCAAATCCCACACTTCAACTAAGCCAACCTAGCTAGCAATCCCGTCTTCTCATCTACCATTTCATATTGTGCTACATTTAAATGGATACACGACTCATTGCATGTGCACGTATTGCTGTGTGTTCCTGCAGGACTCACGGCAAACAGAATATGCTAATGTCTGATTTACGCTTTCACAAAAAATTCTATCCACTCAGCAGTCTTCTTAATTCCCGCACCTCGTTTCGCCGACTAGAGAACGCCTTTCGGTATTCCAAAATACATGGCAGTTCTGTTCAAGATATGCATTGCATCATAACCTTGACCACCTCAAACCCCAAAGTCCCGAAATCAGTGCAGGTTTCCTTGTTGGATATCGGGCCTTGCATTCCGCCCACCTGGTGACAGCTAGTCATGTATTTCTCGCGTTTTTGAACCCCAACTACTGGCGGCAGGCGCAGCTGACACAACGACTGCTACTGTGGAAGGACTCGGGGGAAAATAGTCAACAGTGGTTTGTAGGGGCTCTATGGACTGCATGCAGTTGATTGATGCGCACGAAGTTCCTCTCAAGCTCTCCAACTCTTTCCACGGTTTTTATTTTATTTTAGCTTTTTTCTAGCTCTCTAATTACTCGGTGTCTCCACCTTGCCCCACTCTCCCTAGCTCCCTCTAACTCTCTTCCTCTATATCTTCAAGTCAAGCCGGATAGATCTAAAGGGTGAGATTGTAAGCCCGACTTAAGCAAGACGTACTATTTCTTTTCTCCTACTTTGCCGACCTCGGTATAGCCAACCTCAGCCATAGTCACCTGTTTTCAGTAACGGAGCTCTCCGATCCCTACCACCTGCTCGTATTCAGGAGCTACTGCTGCTTGCTATAGTCATATGCTGCCTAGCTCACTTCTTTGCGTATAGAGGCCCTTAGGTACACTCCTTTAGCAATCAATCCAGCTCCTCATTTCTGCGCCTACCGAAAGCTTCACTAAAAGCTTCACCAAAAGCTTCACACCACCTCTTTCCCACAGTATCCGTTATACCCACAATGCAATGGCCCCCTTATGGACGCGCCCGTCCAAGCCGGCGCAGTACCATGCTTCATTGAAGACCAGGGTTCAAGGGACATACATACAACGACCGAATACGAAGTGCAAGAGTCTTCAGCTACCCACCAACGCGCATACCTAATACTTGCCTTCTGACATACAAACTTACCTACCCCAACAAAAGACCCGAAATTAGCTTTCTAACCCCACCCCCAACCCCACCCTCTGGTTCTCAATTTAATCCAACTAGTCGAATATCGAAATCTTTCTATGAGGTAGTTCAGCCAGTCTGGTAGCCGCCGTCTACAGCCCTATACTAGAATCAAGTCCACTCCGCGCCACTCCAACTCACCTACGACTTCGCCATCCTTCCAAATGCATGGTATCACCTCAAACAACTCCTCGCCTCAACTCCGAGTACTTGAATGAAACCCGAGTGCCTACCGTTGACATACTTGGTGCCTTTTCAGAATCGGCGATTGGGAAATCCATGTCCATATCCACTAGTACATGTACTACACATGCGCAAGTCTTTAATGGAAGCCTACTTGCTCGGTTGTGGAGATGGGGTGTAAAGATGCAGGTGGTGGGTCATTTTTCTTCTGCATAAATGCAACAAACAAACATAAACTTAGGAGACAGGATGAATGGTGGAATGCCATGTGTGTTTATCGTGATACCGCAAGTAGACAGGAAAGGTTAGACTGGGCTTAGCGAAAGGAAATTCATCGCTTAAGCGACCGGGTTACTGGAAGTATTGGGGGGGGGGGGGTGTCGATTTCGGTCCTAAATTATCGGTACATGTCCCTACTTTTCCGCTGAATATTCCCGCTTGGCTCCCAAGCTCTCACCAATTGCTGCCTAGGTGTCTTGCGGCCAGAAAACTATTATCCAGAATCCACGCTCGCGCGTCTTTCCATCCGTCTATGTCTAATGCGGCGGTTGAATCGATACTCTGTTGACCGATAGAAGAACCAAATGCCCTTCCAAAAACCTACGACCAAGAAATCCTGCGAATTGTTAGCCTAACCATGACCCCATAAATAATTACGAAACTCACGCAAGCATAATGGCCGCGCCTGCCCCCATCGCCAAAAATTGCATCCCCGTCTTCCTCAACTCCACCCCCTTATCTGGCCCCGTCTCCAGCAACTCCGGAATTACAGCCACAGTCCCCACATACAAAAACGTCCCCGCCGTAAATGGCAACAACATATCGCCCCACTGCAAACTCGTACCCCACAACCCTTGTCCTCGACCCCCGGCCACTGATCCCGAATTTGAATTCCCACCAAACTCCTGCACCGCAATCCCAATCCCAGTCCCCAACATCGCTCCAACAGCAGTCACGAATTGCGCACCCATGGCCGCACGTTTGGAAAACCCGGATTGGATGAGCAGAGCAAAGTCGCCCACCTCGTGCGGGATTTCATGGAAGAACACGGCGACGGTGGTGGTGGCGCCCAGGGTGGGGGAGGCGTAGAAGGAGGAGGAGAGGGCGAGACCGTCGGTGATGTTGTGGGTGAAGTCGGCGATGAGGTTGAGGTAGCCGGAGAGCTTGACAGAGGGGGATGGGGGCTTAGAAATAGAGGGTGGGGAGGAGGAGTGGGGGGTAAGTGGTGGGGTTAGGCCGGAGGTGGAAGGAGAGGGGCGGGCGCGGAGGGTAGATGAGGTTCCTGCGGCGGGTTAGTGAGGGCTGGGGGAAGGAGAGGAGGATATTACCGTCCAGCTCAGCGCCAGAGGTTTTCGCAGAGACGTCGGGTTTCTCATGGGCATGGGAATGAGCATGGCCGTGGGAATGGTCGTGTCCGCCTTCGCCCCCTGTTGCAATGCGCAAGCCCTTATCCATGGCCACGAACGTGATAAAGCCAACCATAATAGCCACACCAAGCAAAAGATTCTTATTCGGCTCCACCATAACGAACTTGACTTGGTCATGCTCATCCTCTCCTAAGAAGATCTCAGGCAGCAGATGGAATAGAGTGTCTCCTAGCAGTCCCCCGACCGCGAAGGCTACCATGACGGAGAGCGAAGAAGGGTCGATGTTCGGCGGACATAGCGCCAGCAGGAAGTTGGGCGGGCCGGAGATGTAGAGGGTTGCAAGGATGGCGTTGACAGCCGGGGAGCCGGGGAAGAGGAAGGAGAATATTTGGGAAGCAATACTTGAGGTTGTGGGGTTGTTGGCGACTTTATGTTCGTTGAGGGCTTGCACAAGAGGGCACTCCTATTTGGGTGCATGGTAAGCAGAAAGTTGGGCTGCGCACGCGACAGCAGGCCATTGACATAGTCCCAGCCAAGAGGAAAGCGCAATGCCTTCAAGAAACATTAAACACATAAATCTTCTAGCTCACCTGCAACTTCTCTTCGATCTCCGACAAGCTCAACCCCCCGACATCCTTCTCGCTCCTGCCCAGCTCTGCAGACACGTTCCATGCCCAAACAGCAAGAAACACCGAAAAGAAAACGAGAGACCTGTGTCGTCGCGAAACCATGACGACGACTGTTTGTATATCCTTGCGCGAAATAAATTGGCTGTGACAAAACCTGAGGACTAGGTCAGGGGGTTGAGTCGCGACAAGCTGTCCATAAATATCTGTAGGGCTGAATTGGGGGGTCGCGGCATATTCCGGGTTCGCCCAGATTTCGACCTTGGCGGCGGCCGGGGGGTTGGAATTTTTTGGCTGCCGGAGGAGTTTATGTAACGGACTACTTTTTATTTCATCACTTCCAACTTCCAGCTCTCCAGGCTCCTCCAACCAATTCCGCGCGCAATCATGGGTCGCGAACTCCAGAAAAAGAAGAACAAATCATCACTACCTAAACGCCGCCAAAACCCCAAGTCAAAGAAGAAAATCCTCGCAAATCCCATCATTGCGGCAAACTGGTAATCCCCCTCTCCCCCCTTCTCCTCACCGTTCATGCCCCTACTTACTCAGTATACTACAGGAACCAAAAAGAAACTCTCACCCAAAACTACCGTCGCCTGGGCCTCACAGCCCGCCTCAACCATGCAACCGGTGGTACTGAGAAAACTATCGCGCTCCTCGGCCTTAATGACCCAGCCTCCTCGCGCGCAGACGCGCCGAAGAATAGTACGGCGGATAAGTTGAATATCGTTAGCCGCGCACCGGAGACCGCGCAGCTGGAAGAAGTTGACGTTGAGCGGGATCCTGAGACGGGGGAGATTGTTCGAATAGGAAGTGGAAATGAAGGGGAGAGAGACAACCCGCTGAATGATCCGTTGAATGAACTTGAGGACGAGGGCGAGGGCGAGGGGTTGGGGGAGTGGAACGGGTTTGCTATGGTGCCTGAGGAACAGGAGCCACAAGCAAATAGCAGAAATCCCGTGATTCGGCAGCTGGAGGAGCAGGCAAGGAATGGGGTGAAGAAAACGCCGCGGAAACAGAGCCAAAGAGAGGAAGAGTGGATCGCGAGGCTGGTGGAGAAGTATGGGGATGATTGTAAGAGGATGGTGTGGGATCGAAAGTTGAACCCGATGCAGCAGAGTGAGGGAGATTTAAGGAGGAGGGTTAGGAAGTGGAGGGAGGGACATGGGCAGGGTTGAAGATCTGAGTGGAGCTGGGAGAAGGGAAATAGGATCTTATGCTTCTCCAACAACGCCCCCGGTAATGCCTTGTAAAGCGCCAAGATCCTTTCCGAAGCCCGACAGTGAAGGCTAGTTGCTGGCGAGGGCCAAGGAAATGTAGGGAGGCCCATAAGAAGGGAAGGAATATGGATTGGGTCGGAATAGAGGGAAGTTTGACTTTCTATGAAGCAAGGTCTCATTGTACCCTGCTATCTGTACACTGCGAGACTGAACACATGTATGTATCATATGAGACTCGCATCCGATCCCAGCCATGAACTAAAGGGACAATATACCCTCTGAACACTCGTCTGTGAGTGGACTCGAGCATTTGTTGGCATTTCCCTGCCAATAAACTGACAGTGCCAAGAAAACCCATCATCGCAGCTTCCCAGCCTTGGTATGCGCAACTTCCTTGTCTACCGGGCACCCTCGACGCTCACCGTCCTCAACCCACTTTGTCACCATTTTGCCGCCAATATGATTCTCTACCTGTTATCATGGCTGATCGCGGACAAGGACGGCTTTGCGGCACCGGCAACACCATCTTTCCCCCTGAGCAGACGCCACCTAACGAACATATCTCCTCTCAGGTCTCCTGGAGTGAGTAGAAAATTAACACTCGCCTGTATCGACTTTGGCCGTGTTTCATTTGAACGGTGCTAAAGATGAGTGTTACATTGCCCTGAGCTGGCGAGAGAGACTGGATTCAGCCTTCCAGAATTATCGCTGTGCTCTGCCTCACCAGAGGCGTTTGGATTTTCATTTACCCGGGTGACGCCATAACCTCAATGTCCCAGATCATATTCAAGCCCAAGTCGATCTAGACGGCCTTCGAATTCGAAAGGTCGGGTTTCAAATCATTCGAGAGCCCAGCGAGTTCGATGGTGACTTCTTGTTATCACCCCTCTCTCTTTGGAATGAAAAAGCATACGCCTCTAAAGTTACTGCTAGCGAGTTGAACGTATTGGTAGGGCCGGACAGGCCACCACTTGCTTGCTATGTGTAATTTGTTGGCCAAAAAAAGATATCCATTTGCAAGGACAAAAGAATGCACCTTTTTGACCTCGTCTCTGCTTTCAACTCTGGGTTTGGGTTGCTTTCTTAGCCTTTCTCTTATTCCATGGAGTGCCCCACCTTGAAGTGAAAATCTATGTGCGCTCAGCCTCCAATAGCTTTCTACAGGCCCAAGACAGACCCATCTAAAAACCAGTGTGCCTTCAATTACAAGAGCAGCACACATCCTGTGGTATGCCAGAGACTGGATCCGACATTGTCATGAGAATCACAAAGAATTCCACCTGCTCTCAGGCAATGCACTTCTACCCACACACCCTGCCTCAATGCTCCAAAAGTCAGCAGGCGTCATTCAGGACCCAAGCTTCTCGCAGCCTCAATTACCACGCGTCACCGTCACCTCGTCCTGGCCACCTTGACAACAATCGCCTCGATAATGTCAACAGAATGCATTTCCCGACCAGTTTCCCGCGTATATGTCCTCTCCAATATCCCCCCATTCGCCTCGCAGCTCGAGGATAACTGTCAACCTTCAAACCACGAAAAGCACCCCACTCTTTAGCATGTGGAATGGGTGAGTGGTGCTTGGACATAGCTTATGGAAGATTGCTAACTGACCTTTGACTACGTATATACCTCTGATAACGCGTCTCTCGTATACTTCTGGCTGATATCTGTTTAACGAAGAAGTCAAGTTGAAGGAACGTCATGTTTTGTTCAATGTCGAAGCTCTGCAACGTGCAGCTGAAGCCCCCGTTAGCAACAAATATGGCAAGGTCGCCAGTATGAAAAACCTGGTCAAGGGAGGTTTCAATCGAGTCTTTGTCCGGGTATTCCAGGACGGCTTCGAGGTGGTCGCTAAGGTCCCGTACCAGCGTTCCCAACCGTACGTACTACGACTCGTAGATACGTGAACGTAGCAGTCACGTGAGCCGTTGAAACGTAGGAGGAGTGTGAGCCGTAACGTACGTAGGAGCCAGCTCCCATTACAGACCATAATACGTCTTAGAGAGACAATATTTCCTAGTAATATAAGGTCTTATTAGACAGCTATAAGGACGCGTTAGAAAAGTGTTTAAAGTTATGTTTTTAAAGTAATAATTAAGTAAAAACTCTATAGTTTATATAATAATTAAAAAGCTAGTAAAGAAGGGGATTAAAGCGTAGAATTTTATAATTTTAGTTAAAAATTATAATTGCTTATAAACTTACTTATTATAAGCTAAATATCCTAGTTTCTCTAGTATAGCAGGTGTATAGCCTTATTTTAAAGATTCTTTTAAGCTAGCTTTTTTTTACTAAACTAAGGTTACTTATTACGCTAGTTTTTATTAACTTGCTTAATTAAAGTTTTTATTATTAAAGTTTTTAGTTTTTTTTTATAATAGCACGCTATCTAATAGTCTCTTAGCCTTTAGAAAGGAGTACCTAGATAACTTTACTTTTAATAATAAAGTATTATTTACTATTAAGTAAAATAATGTCTAAATAAGAAATAAAAAGTTAAGGCTAAAAAAGCTTAAATACTAGGTAAAGCATAAAAGCTAATTATATAGTAATTATTAGTTATTCTAAATATAGCTTTATAAAGCTAATTTAGTGTATAATAATAAAAAAAACACCTTTAGAATAAAGTTATAGCTTTACAGGAGGTGCTACACTAAAGGCAATTATAAAAAGGTAAAAAAAGTTAATAGTTATACTTATATTATCTACTACCTTAAAAAGAAGCACTAGATAGATATTAGTAAAGAAAGTAAAAGTGCTTTTTTACTTAATAAGCTAAAAATCTTTTTAAGTCTATTTAAAGTAGCTTATAAAGTTATAGGCTTATTATATATTATTTTTTATAGTATTTAGTAAAAGAAAGCTTTATAAGTAGTAGTTATTAACTAAGTAATACTTTATAATATTTTTTTTATACAGCATTATTAGTAAAACTTTAAAGCATTATTGTAAAGATAGGATAGTAAGTAGCACAGATAGCACTAAGAGCAAGCTTTCAGAGAAAGATAGGAGTGTATTGTAAGAGAGACGAATCGCTGCCAAGCTTCGCTTGTCAGGATTCATGCTTATATACGAAGCACAGGTCATACGACCTCCAAACAGGTCAGGTGAGGCCATACTGGCCCGTTCTGGGACATCCGGCCTTACAATTATTACCTAAAATAAAGCTAATTTTTTTACTACCTTTCTAGTATCTAACACTACATATTTATCTTACATGTAGCAGGGATATACGCAGCAGAAGCAGGAGATTTAAATAATGCTAAAAATAGCCTAAAGTAAAATTATATTAAGTGTTAATATATAAACTTCTTTAAACTACTTTTTCTTTCTAAGTGTAGTGTTACACTTTATTAGTAAGTGTACTTTAGCTTATTAGTTTAGCATCTTAGCATTTTTTATTAAACTAAACACTAACTAATAATACTATGTAGATGTTAACTACTAATACTATAATGTTCTAATTAGCTTTTGCAACCTATATAGCAACTATACTAGAGTAAATTAAGTGCTAGAAATTATTAAAGTTATTAATAACTTTAAAATTATATTAAAATTATATTATTTAGTAGCTAATAATATGTTAAATAATAATAATAAAACTATCTTTACCTTTACTTAACATCTTAATATGCCCCTTACCTCTAAGCACTGTATACGCTGCGCTAGCTATATAATCTAGCTAGTAGTAAAAGTAGTTATTTATAGTAAAAAAATAAGCACTTTTAAAGTAAACTTTACTTAAGTAGCTTCTTAAAAATAATTTAGCCTTTATTACTACTATAAAGTTATTAAAAAACTTTATAATTTTATAAACATAGTGCTAGCATTATATAAATAATAAAAAGCTTTTATAACTTTTTAGGCTACTTTTAATAACAACAACTTTTTCTAGAGCTTTAGAACACTTAATCTTATATAAGATAGCAGTGTATGCTAGTATAGTGTTTATTTTATGCTTTTTTGCTGTTTTAAGCTTAAAGACACTATTACTAAGTTTATATATAAGTAAAAAAGCACTAATAATAACTTTATAAACTTTACTATTTCTAGTAATTTTACTTTTACTAAAGTTATTACTAAAAATAAATAAAAAAAAGTTAATTACTTTTATAAGTTTTTTAAAGTCTTTTACTTTATAATAAAACACTTTAAAGGTAATAGCTTTTATAGCTCTTTCTAAATATCTATTATTAACTTATAACACCTTTATACTAAGCTTTTATGTATAGGTAATAAACTTAAAGGTAAAAGTAATAATTACTACCTTAAATCTAGCATAGCATTTAGCATAAAAAAGTTACTTATATACTAAAAAAAGTTTATTATTAAGCTACTTATATTTTATTACTATATAGTAATAATTTTAAACTTCTAACTTTATTTTATTTAGTTTAAAGACTACTAAAAAAAGCACTTTATATAGTATAAAAAAGCTAAGGCTTTAATAAAAGCTATTTTTTAAAAGTATATTAATATAAAGGCTAAGGCTAAAGCTAATAATAATAACATTACTTAAAAGCCTACACAACATAAGTTACTTAGTAGCAACTATTATAATAAAAGCTTTAAAAAGACTTTTTTTTATTAATATAAGCCTCCTTACTAGCAGCTGCTTATATAAAAAGTAGTAGAAAACAATAAAGTTACAGTAGTACTATAACAGCTACTATAAAGATGTTACTATAGCTAATAATAATAGCCCTTTATTTACTAACTCTTTTACTTAGTAAAAACAAGTTAGATAACTTTTTTACTTTATACTATATAAAATTACTTTTAACTTCTTATTTATTTCTTTTATAAGCTATAATTATAAAAGGTTCTTTTTTAAAAGTAAAAAAACTATTACTTATAATAAAAATAAGCTTTTTAGCTTAATAATTAAGGCTTTTTAACTATAGAAAAACTAGCTCTAGTAAGGTTATATTTACAGTAAAATAAGGGACTTAGTAGACTATATATACTGTAACGTCTTATAAGCTGTTAAAACATAGGAGGATTATAAGCTATAACAGTTACGCCCTGTAAGTAGATTTAAATTCTCCTTTTATGTTACAACGTACTAACAAACTAAGAAGTTACAGCCTAAAAAACAGCAAGTTAAAACGTATTACGTACGGTTGGGAACGCTGTCCCGTACCACATAGCCTGACAAGAGAATTTCGCCACCGCTAGCGAACCTGACAACCTTGTGTTCCTTCAGTTGAAGGCATACCTGTCCCGGAAGCATATAGCTACTCCACAACGGTAGAGAATCCTGTTAGTGCCAAATACATCCTGATAGAGAAATGCCCCAGAGTCAACCTCGCATCCAGATGGGTGAACCTCCAAGACATTGAGATGCGAAGACTTGTGCATAGCTTCGTTGAACTTGATTTTTTTTTTTTTCCAGTTTCCTTTCACCGCCACAGGGAGTTTGTACTTCAAGAAGGACTTTCTATCTGGTATACAAGCTCCGCTGTGCACAGGAGGACCTACTGCAGCAGCAAATCGATTTTGTATTGGTCCTATTGCCGACAATATATTCTGGTACAGTAGAGGAGCGAGACTGAATTTAGGTCGAGGACCATGCGAAAATCACGTTGAACATCTTCAATCAATGCACAAAAAGAGATAGACTGGGCACAGAGTTATGGAAACCCGATGGAGCCCGACTTCCCCCCCAACGATTGGACTGGGACTTCAATGCCTAGAGTATTACCTCAAGCTTTTAGAATGCTCCCTGGTATTAATACCGCACCTGCTGCCTCGATTGGCAGTCATATTCATCCAGCAATAGCTTCTCGCCACTGGCTAGCCTCGCGTATTCGATGAACTCCTTCATCTCGGTCGGCCGATGCTCGTGGATAGGACTGGCCTTCAGTGAGAAGGCAATCTCATAACCCTAAAGGAGCTATTGTACGCGCAACCCCGTTCTGAGAACGCTTACCCGATGTTGAGGATATTAAGTGTCCGGTACAGTTTGATTAAACTGAGATAGAATGGGTTTGCAGAGAATGAAGCCGGCTGGCTGAAGATGAGCGTAGTTGCAGGGCAGTGGCAGATGAGAGTCTGTAATATGACCGAGGAAGTGTGGGTCCGAAATGGGGATTATGAGGAGTCAAAGACGAATATTGGAGAGCTAAAGGGAGAAATTCGACCGCAGTATGATGGGGATGAGGAAGATATCCAAGCGTTTCGTATGGGGGCCATTCTAAGATCGCGAAGAATTTGATTGAAATTTGAGAGAGATTTTGTACGTCGTGATCAGATCCTAGAGTGTGATGAGGCTGGTGCCCCACATGGATAAAGCCATAATGATTAGAATGAACGACAGGAATACCTGAGTTCTGAGGGGACTGGAACTGCGCCTTAGTTGCGTTGGAATGTATAAACCTAGGCCACCCCTACAAACAGATAGGCCTGGATTTCGTCCTTTCAATGACGGCTTAGGGTGGCTTAGGGTGGGATCAGGTTGGCCCAAGCAGGCTCAGGAGAGCTTCCCTTATCTCTCAAGTTCAGCCCCTCTGTATATGTACCCATCTCAAGAAACTTGTAGTGCTTACAATTCTC